TAATAAGTTTGTTAAAATGGGAATAAATATTAACTATTTTTAACACAATGCAGCATAACACGTAACGGAACTTATGTCCACAGAAGCATGAAGTAAGGAGGAATGAAAAAACTTATTAATCGAAGGCCTTCGTAAAAGTATTTTAAAAATTTCAACTAAGGTAGCATAAGTATAGTAGAGCTGAAAACAGAGTAAGCAAACTTTATGCAAACAAATAATAACGCAATATTGAACAGGCCTGATAAATAACAAACTTTAAGGCAAAGGTACAGACCAGTAATAAGTAAAGCTAACAATTCGCTCGAGTCATTTAATGTATTGACAGTTTTAGCAGTGCAAGAGGAATGTGTGTGCCAGAAATGTGAGCATATTATATGACAATGTCGATTGGCCCTGAAATGGCATCTTTGTGAAAAACGAAAAAATGGAGGACGTGCTAGGTCAATCTGGGGGACTTTTGAGTTAACTTGATAAGCTATTATTACTCAGCCACTTTAGTTTTAACGTTAGGGTTAATAAACGTGAGATATTCTCATTAATGACTGCATTCCAAACCACGATTATAACATAAGCTACAAAGTTCAAGTCGCCTAGACTTAAAAAGCCTATGACCCGGTTACTAGCCTGTCCATCTTCACCCCATTCTCTCATATTCTCTGGGTAACTGACTACGGCACCAGTCATAACCGTTAGATATATATAGGGGTATATGTATATGCACATATGAAGATATATGGATCAATAATAAATCTTCTGAATAGGAGACTTAAATAGCATAGGCACTAGATAGATAATAATATTTAATGAAGACGCAGTTTGAGAAAACCATTCATCTAGACTTGTTATAGCAACAATTATATCATGATTTAGTATATTAATGACCTTTACGATGCTACTAAGGTTTGGTGACGTGAAGATTGGTATGATTGCGAGAAAATGGACAAAAACTGTATTAAAATAATTCAAGAGGAATAAAAACAAGGGAAATATACATTTTAGGGAAGAAGTGAGATAGATAAACGCAGAATAAAGCTCACGGAAATGTCTAAAAAAATAAAGATGTATTAATGCCATAAGGCAATAGGGAAGCATAAGAATAATGTAAAGGGAAAAATTCTGGTAGATAGGAAAATGAAAAAAAGGTGGAAATAAAACAAGAGATAATGATCTGGACACAAATCAAATCAAAAAAAGCAATATTCTGACCAGCTTAGCTGCCTCTAGATCTCCCTCTGTTTCTAGGATATCGGGCCAGTACTCGCTCTCAAGACGCTGGCGATGTCGCTCTTCAACGAATTCTGCCTTTTTAATACAGTGGCTCAGTTCATCGGTCGCAAGCGGTAGACGCTTAGTAGTCAGTGGAACCTCTATTGGCCGACTAGCGAATCGACCAAGACTCGGGCAATCGCTCATAAGTTCCTCGTCGCCTTCTTCAATGCCCGAATCCATGCGACTGGAGTGCCGATGGCTCAAAATGGGACAATAGTTTGCGGCAATTGAAGAGGAGTCAGGAGCTGTTTCCATTCCAGAAACGCCAACTAGTTCATGTGACTCGGCTTCAAATGGAGACAGAGACAATGAAGGTGATTCAGACTGACGCCGACTGGTGCCGTTTGATTGGGCTAGCGATGAGGGAGGATGAATAGGTGAGCTGGTGGGTGCACTGCATCCAAGCTCGAAATTTGTTCCTAAGAGTTCAACTAATGCTGAATGAAGTGGGGCAGGCGATGCCTGCGGACTGCAAGACTCGAGCTCAGACTCTTGTGTGAGTGGTGTCAGTAGAAGACGATTTATGTAGGTATTCTTGCGATGCTGAGTTCGCTGCTTGTATTTAGGCAAGGCTTCTGTAGCACCAAGAATTAAAGATTGGACCTAAGTAAAAAAAGTGAATAATATGAGTGAAAACAAAAATGATTATTGAATGAGAACTTAGATCAACTTAGGTTGCATAAGATGTAGATAGTAGAAGATGAATTCTCCACATTTAAATGATTAGGCTTCGCAATTTTATTTAATCTTATCAACTAAGAAGACCTTTAGTCCAGATTGGAATGCAGATTATATCCCATCCTATCATCACCTAATCACCCCAAATGGGATTTTACTTTAAGTCGTCATGGCACCACCTTGCTAGACAGCTAAGGGTTATAAAACTCCAAAGGGTAGACTAGGCGTCTGCCAATTCACATTTATGGTCAGATAGAAGATGACGCAAATTTATTTTTTTTTTTCGTAGGTAAGTAGGTTGTCAAGACTACAAAAAAAATCAAATATGAGTCTATAAATATTAGCAAAACGGTTAAAGTCCTGAATAAGAGAAATGAGTGTAGAAAACTGAATCTAAACTATTTGTGGCTGTTGGACAGGCTTAAGGAGAGGAAGAAAAAGGGAATGAAGGAATAGTCAATCAACAATATGAGGCTAATCAAAGGTATGAAGACCAAGATGGTGTGGCTTTTTTGTGTGGTTGCAGTCTCCTTTGGTTGTATAGAGGTTGTTTGACCTTGGTTTCGCAACTCGGTTATCTTGGCAGAAGACTTAGAGGAACGCACCTAGTCCGGAGTTCAAAGTCAGACCCTGGACGTGGTACATTCTTAGACGTTTTGCCGGCATCGTCAGTGAGTTTTGTCATTCGTAGCAACATATTTCAACTCGTCAAAGAGACAAGTAAAGCCGATCCTTTGACCAAACTTGTGCTAAACAGTTATGGTATCCCCCCTTTTCCCCAGCCTATTCAAATTTCCTATATCCTCCTATCACGCCTTCACTGCCACAATTTTTGTACTTGCTTAATTAGATATTTTAGGGTGTGTCCTTTTGAGCGGCTTTCATGAGAACCCTCTGCACTCCACGCTGGCCTTCTTACCCCCTTTCATCCTTGTGTTGGGAATGTTGATCAGTCTTCCATATTGTTATGCAGTTCTCCTTCCCTCTGTCTTACCACAATCTCTCCTTGCCCCGTAAGATCCGTCTGCCCTTTCCACGTCTACGGTCCGACTTTGGAAACGATTATGGATACAATGGACTCCGGACAAGGTGGGTTCCTCTAAGCCTTCCTACCAATATGGCCGAGTTGCAAAAACAAGGTCAAACAACTTCTTAAAATAATTTTGTTTGTTTAATATACCCAGGTTATTGTTCAAGCTCTTGACTGAAAATTCGTTGCTTCACCTATAAGGGAAAAAAGTAAATAGATGAATCCAATCACAAGATTAATTAATATGTATATGTATGATTCCTAAGAGGCTCTTGAGGCTACATGAGATATGCTACGCGAGTTGGTTAGTTAAAGGAAGTTTAAAAAAGTAAAAATATAACAGAAACGTCAACTGTAAAACCTACAAACCAGACGATTGAACAGAAAAATTATATCGATTTAGGAATTTATTCATATAATTGAGGCTAAAAATAGGCGTGTTCAACGAAGAAAGTGAAGTAATCACGATTGTATTGAAAACATTAGTACGTTCAATCCGAAAAATATAGAAAAATTGCTGAGGAGTCCTTTATTACTCCAGAACATTCTATTGATTTGATGGAAAATTAAAAAGCTCTGCCTTTAAAGCGTAAGGCGTTCTGCCATAAAAAGACATTTGCTCGGATTAAGAAAAGGATACAATAATTTTCAAGAAAAAATTGAATGTATAGACAGAGAAATCAGCAATTCTATATAGTTCAAAAACGTGTACTCCGCATGTATTTGGATATTTTTTATCTTTTAGCTTGCAGATTGATAAGTTTCTAATTTCATAACCAGGCTTAGTTTAGCTATGGATCGAAGATTGGAGGAACACTTCAGGAAAGAGGTAAGATTGACACTTAAACTGTTATTTAGATATATAAATGACTACTTTGCCATATGGCAGCATGGCAAGGATAGTTTAGATAATTTCTTGTTTTTAATTAACCAGATTTACTCTAACATTAAGTTGACAATGAAGATGGAGATCAACAATAATTTACCCTTTTTAGATGTCTTAGTGATTAGAGCAAAAGGTTAAGCGGGGATGTCTATAGAAAGCCAACACATGCTGGCTTTATACTTAACTTCTTGCCTAATCATAAAACAAAGGTTGGAGTTTTAAAATCTATGATTATTCAGGGCATAAGACTAGCCGATATAGACAATTGTGACAATGAACTGAGAATAATTATCCCCTAAAGAAGAGATAAGGAGATCTTTTCTCATGTTTATAACATTAGATTAATAAAGAATAGCTTTTTGAATGGTGAATATTTAAGGAGAGATAAGGAGACCTTTTCAAATGTTTTGTCTTTACCTTCGTGCATTCTCTTAAAGGATAGGTGAACAAGTAATGAAGTAGAAAATAAAAACGGGTTTCAGGAAAACTACGATACTTTCCTTAGTTATGCCCACTATTAGAGAGAAAGTTGACCTATTATGAAGATCGGGTTTCTACAAAATATTTTGTTCATGTGGTCGCTTTTATGTTAGAGAGACATGTCGTCCCATTCAACAAAAGCTAATTGAGCACAAAAGCGACTGCAAAAGCGTTTGGGTTCAAAAATCGGAACCTGCTAAGCACAGGGCAGAAACGAGACACGAGATTGAATGGTCTCAAACTTGACGTTTTACTGATTATGGTATGCTTACGGCTAAACGTAAAATTAGAGAAGCCATAGAAATAAACTGAATAGGAAATATATTGAATGTA